ATTCTTTTCCGAGCACCGTAATATGATAAGTATGACCCCTGCATGTACCAGAAGATGCTTTCGACCCATCGACACTCCACTCCAGAGAGTAGTTTGACAAATCAAACGTTCCAGGGGCAAAAACGGAAATCTGCATAGGAACCACAACTGAAGACAAAGGCCCCAACTCGAATTTGGTCGAACTCGATCCTGTCCACAGGAAAGGCGTAATGCTCTCTGCTGACGTGGCGCGGCCTAATCGGGCCCCCATGACATCAGTCGTGACTTTGATTTCGTTAAGATGAGACGTGTCTTGCCAGCCCACTTCATTTCCAGAAACGGGCCCTGCATTGGTCAAAGAGTTGACTGCTGCTGACATGGAGTCGAGGGTTTTGATGCGAACGGACACGATATCCTCCGAGGAGTTGTGAACAGTCATGCTCAGATTGACTTCGCAGAAGGTGGAAGAAAAATCGTGCCTAACTGTCCGGGGCCCGTCTATTAACCACCATATTGGGCTCGTACTCGCAAGTCTACACGAGAGAATAAAACGAGATGTCAAATAATGGAAAGATCGAAAAGTACAAAATATGCAGAACCTTCTTTTTTTTTTTTAGAAGTTAAATGAGAGGCTTACCTGCAATGGCAAGAGTGATGAGAGAAAACTCGGGGGCTAATAGGCTTTCCAGCATCGCTTTCACTCGGTGACTCGAATATCAAGATGAAGTCAAGTGAGCTTACAAGGTCCTAAATTCAAACGATATAGTAATTACTATTTAGAAATAATAATTTTGACTGATATTGAAATGGACATTTGATGGAAACCATGACAGTCGTATAAGCAGTAGAGTATAGTTGTATTTTCACAGCAAACCATCTGCATAGCACAAATGTAATTTTGTACTCTAGAAGAGTCTTTTTAGCACATTCATACTCTTAAAATTACATAAATACTCAAATTAATAAAATGTTGCACCAATATTCAGAAGAAACATAAAACTTAAGGGCACGCTTGTTTATCAAATAATCTATTCAAAATGAGTTTTTTTTTGCTAACCAGATTTAATTTTGAAAAAGGTGGTATGGTTAGTAATTAGTGGGATTTTAAGAATGTATTAAAATACTATTTAAAATAAAATGATTAAAATTGATTTGATGTAAAAATAGGAGATAAATGATTGGAAATGATAGGTAGTTAAACTTATGATGAATAGTGAATTAAAGTTGATGTGATGTGTAAGAATTATTAGTTTGTATTATTTAATTATATGAATAATATTGAAGATAGTGGGGTTGAGTTAGATTTTGAGTATGAATTAAATGTGAATAAATTAATTTGTAAACAAGCATGTCAAACAGTTGCATAGCACAAATGTAATTTTTGTACTCTAGAAGAGTTGTTTTAGCACGTTCATACACTCTTAAAGTTACATAAATACTCAAACTAATAAAATGTTGCACCAACATTCCGAAGACAGAAAAAATAAATAAGGCATTTTAAACTGAACTTGGGGAATCATGATTACTTATGGACATGGTAGCTATGATTGGATACCTCACAATCTTAAACATTGGATGTTATCGCAAAATTGTAATGAAGGCTTGGAAGATAAATGTTGACAAGACTTGCAATTTGAGGTTAGAGAGAACAAAGAGGCACATGGCAAACCTGCTCGTGTCTGTCTTGGTGCAATCTTTCATAATGGTGAAAAAGACTGAAGGGTGAAATTGAAGTATCATACAAGCTTTTGAACTCACTATCAACAAGCCCCACATCCGCTCTCCATGATGTAGCAATGGAAGTTTTTGTCTTCTCAGTACTATCTTGCCTCCTGCGATGCTGGGTTTCGGAGTAATTTAATTATGATAGCAATGTGAATTTATTTTAAGATATGAGGAGGAAAGATGAGAGAGATAATGGTGAATTGAAAGAAACGTAATTTTAGGTATAATAGCACTAATTCATGAACAAAACCATTTTCACCAAATTCGTTGGCAAATGCATATATGACTTAAAAAAGGAAAAAAGAAAAAACTAATAGTGCAGTTCCCAAGAAGAGCCAAATTTCCTAACTCAATATTTTCTTCAAGTGTGGTGGTATAAGACACACAAACATACATCATCCTGTACTATATTTCTATTTTCAAGAATTAAGTAATATGCAACACAACCAAAACTTGGGGCAAGCTATATAGCTTTCATCGTCAGGCAACTGAAGTTCGAATGTACACTTCACAACCTTAATGGCATATTTTCAGGAAGTAGTAAAGTACACAGCAATTAAATTTATAAAATTATTCGGCGAAGGCATTTGAATAAGATAGCCTAGAGAAAATCTAAGAGCATGTTTGTTCATGAAATTTTTTTAAAAAAATTTCAACATTTTAACTCAACTACTTTTTTTAACTCAACTTTAACTCAACCCCACTATCAAAATTATCAATATAATTAAATAATATCAATCAATCATTCATACACACCACAACAACCTTAATTCACTATTCATCTCCTCTCATTATTTTAACCATCACTTCAAATCCTTCTCTCCTACTTTTACATCAAATCAATTTTAATTATTTTATTTTAAATGTTATTTTAATATACCCACTAACAACTAACCATACCACATTTTTTTCAAAATTAACCAAACCAAATCAAAAAATCCAAACAAAACCAAAAATTTTTATAAACAAACATGCTCTAAATTTCAGGTCAGACTCAAACCTTTAGTTTGAAAAAGCATGATAAAGCTTGACCGGCCGTTAAAAGTTCAAAAGAAACCACAGGATCTGCTGGTCGGAGTAGTGCAAGTTCCCATTGGTCTCCAACACATGATAATTGATGAACTCGAAAACTCTCTGAGTTGGTTTTGTTTACGATGTCCATCCTGACAAGAAACTCCTGCAATCTAGAAGGACAGGAGCTGGTCTGCAACGACACTTCTAGAGATGGCAGTACCTAGTTTAAGAGGGTATCAAATAAACAAAAAAGGATATCAAATA